TAACATTCATATTAATGAAAAAATATACATCTGTTTTGATTACAAAATTTTTATCAAATTTATTACAGAATATTAAAAATATTATACAAATGAAATATCTAATTCTTCGGCAAAACCTGCTTTTATTTTCTTCTCGAACATATTTGACATGCATAGATTAAGACAATTTTAAATTAATCTTTTCTTACAGATGTGAGAAATTTGATAGTTTACTCTTCACATTTATTTCTATATTTCCATATTTATTTTTCTAATAATGTAACTTTTAGTTTATCAACTTTGATTTTTCTTCGTTGATAGGAAACGTGTAAGTTCGCGTAAGTTGGCGAACGTAAACAATTAAGTAAGCATTGTATATGATATGCATGTATTATCATCCAATATTCCGTGTCGGAAAAAGACCCCTTCGACTATCTCTGTCGCTCATCGAGGAAGTTACCATTGTCCAATTGGCGAGCATAAATATGTAACGCGCGAGGCAAGCACCGAATTGCGAAAGTGCGTGGAACGATTTCAATTTCAATAACCGCGATACTTCTCCCAACATGATTGTGTACGATCGCGCAATTACTTAATTATTCTGCAAAGCGAAACAAGCGCGTCTGTCGTTCGCAACGTTATATGTGTGTAATTACGCGTCGCGCAATACGCGCTCTGATTTTGCTTTCCGTTCCGCGAAACGTGAATATAATCATCTCCCTCGGCCGACGAACGGCGATTCTTGGATCTCCGATCGTGTCAAATGTATCGACAACGGTGAAAATCACCGTTCCGTACACATTCGTGAATCCCGTGATTATCATTTCAGGGAAACTTTTCGAAGGATCGTTCCCACACGGTGCAAAATATGGAGCACGACAAAACGGACGAAGTGGTGCCGGACAGAGTGGCTCAGACTTTCGCTGGTCAGAAGATAATGTTGACCGGCGGCACGGGATTTTTAGGAAAAGTATTAATCGAAAAGTTTCTGCGATGTTTGCCCGACATATCGCACATTTACATGCTCATCAGATCGAAGAAGGGCAAGGACTGCAAGCACCGTTTGGACGAGATGTTCAATTCTCCGGTAAGTCTCGGCCGCCTTTCTTCCGAAAAAAAAAAACAAGAGAAATTTTTTTTTGGTACTCTCTTAAGGAAACTCGCGCACGAAATATTTCCTAATAACCCAATTGAAAGTTTCTGTCTGAGCGATCGATTGTGCGGCAAGTATAAAAAAAAGTCACGGTATCGTCCTCGTAATATCTCGGTTCGCTGGAAAATTCATGTTCCACCAACACTTTTGGTCTTCCTGGTCTTTTGCGAGAGCACCAAAAAGAGAAAGTGCGTGACTATGACTTTGCTATTGCGTTGCAAGTTGCATCATTGTTGCCTTACGCCGACGATAACGCGAGAGTGCAGCGGAGAAGGTACGCCGTTTTCTCTTACGCGCGCGCTTTGGATAGCTCTCAAATGAAATTCGCCAGTGAAAGTGTATTAAACCGGGCCGTCAACCGCGGCCCGATCCATCTATGTGACGAAAGAAACCAAGTCAAGGCCTCGAAAATATAGCCAGGGAAGAGATGGTGATTATTGGTATCGTTACTGCCAACTCCGGTGAAAGTACGGATTGCGCGGCGATGTTATGTCATGTCTTTCGAATTTTAACGCAATACCATATACATGCTGCCTTATACGTGTGCGCATGGTGTGTGTGTGTGTGTGTGTGTGTGTGTGTGTGTACACGTGTACACACATAGGCGCATGTTTGTCCGGTAAAAACTTCTATAAATTAGAATCATTAAATGCAATTTTATCATTAAAATGCAAATTATCATTAAAATGCAATTTTTCCTGTTTGTTTTGCTCAAGAGAAACGATTACAATAATTTTTGTTATATGATTTAATTCTTTAACTCGGCAAATCAAGTAAATATAGCAAACTATGCTTATCGAAATCTGAACTATAGCAATGGTAGTTCACGTTGCATTAATGATATTCGTTCGAATCCAATTCGTATAGTGAAGTAATTACAACAGTGAGGTAATTCACGTCAAGTTAATGAAGTAACGTAACTTTCAATTATGCACAAAGATGGAATCTTTGTCTAGCTATCCATTGTAGGTATTCATTATGACGGAATTTGCATGAAAAACTTGTCATTCTGAATTTTATAAAATTCATCAGATTTGTTATTGGCGATTCAGAAAATATAAATACAAATATTAATAAAAATCCAAGAAAAAAAGATATGTTTCTCAGGTTAAATCACGGTGTTAACTTTGAATAGACTTTAATAATATCTTGATTGTGAGAGAAATACATGAGAAAGAAAAATTATTCGAAACTTTTTATTTCTTACTGAAGAATGGTGAATGGTATATGATATGTATGGAACTATATGACTTTCTTTCCATATAATTATATCTCTTATCTAATCATTCTACATATAATTATTCTGTTATATAAAAAGATATTAAAAGACTCGAAAAATTTCATATAATAAATATTTATATATTAATAAACGTGAATTCTACTTGTGAACTTTGAAACTTTCGCGTCACCGTTTGAAAAAATCTTGTTATATAAAGATACATATTATAAATACTATGTAATTAATGAATTATAAAATACCTTTAAACAAATTCTTTAACATTTCTTTAGGCCATACATTTATTAGAAATAAAAATGTAGTTCCCGGTTTATATCTGCTATATCAGTCATAAATGTTATATTATTAAGAAAATATTTTCAATTCAACATATTTTGCAACAATGAGCATGATAAATCAGCAGGAGTTTTATTATCTTTATTTAACTCAAAGAATCGATTAATAGAAATATATAATTGCATTTTATTAAAAATGTGAATTGCATGCAAGGTGAATTTCATTTTTTGAATGTACATCTTTCTCTTATCAATCAATTTTTTTGTCATCATCCTATTGTTTTATAAAAAAAAGTATGAAACAGCATATGTTACACGATAATGATAATCGATATATTAAATAACTATACTATTTAACTTTTTTCGAACCCTTTTTCCATCACATTTTTACCGCGTGAAAAAAAACTTATTATTTTCTTAATCATTAATTATTTTCAACAAAAAAAAACTCAAGAATTGTTCTATCAGAATAACTGCGAGTCCGTACTGGCAATGACTGTGTTTTTATGATATATGTACTCATAGTGACATAACAATATGTCTTAACGATTTTCATTACTCATATCCTCTAGCACTTTTTTGTAAATTCTTCATGAAACTGCAATTATCTTTCTTCCCTTGCTCTTGTAATATGACATACATGCGATTATGCGCGACCCTCGTTCGTTCATTGGCAAGCAATGGACGATTCACTTTAGATTCAAATTACAGCTTTTCGACAAAGTCAAAGCGCAAAGGGGACTGCCGGAGCTCGAGAAAGTGGTAACGGCCGTTAATGGGGATGTATCATTGCCAGGACTTGGCTTATCCCCGGAGGATAGGAAGATGCTCATCGAGAACGTTAATATCGTGTTTCACGCAGCGGCTACCGTCAGGTACTGATAACAAGAGGAAATAAACATCACTGTCTTTAGTTCAACATTGTGACATTTTTTAGCGAGATTTGGTGAAACTACAAATTTAAAGAATAATTTCTTAAATGAGAATGCAGTTTTAGAAGTGTAGTGAATGAAATGGCAATGTTGGCAGCACATAAGTAATTTGCGAACAAATTGTGACAGACATTGGCGTCAACTATGTCCAACATTAAGTACATATTCTGCCAGCCGGTACTTGTCGACGTAATCTGATAGTAGATTGTCAGCAGAAAGCAAGCAGGACCTGTAATTTCGTAATCGTTTAAATGGAGTGTATTATTTAAGTGGTTATGAAGTAACAAATCTTGTTTCTCCAATCATTTCGCAGATGTTAACATGCAGATGTTAATATGATAGCCGGCAGAATAGATCTTCAATTTCGTGAGGATTCTCTGAAATCTCGTTTCGGTCGATTTGGCTATCAGATAATCGTATTTTCTTTCAAGAATATTTAAAAATTTCATTATACGTGTATCAGTATAAAGTATTTTAAAGTGGAGGTCAATCGCTTTGGAAGTGATTGGGAATCCAAAAACAAGAAAAAAAGTTGGTATGAACATAGATTCGGAAATGCGCTGTTTTCGAGTTACCATTTTTATGTTGAAATTTCAAATTTTAACGTGAAAATGACGAAAACTCGAAAATAATGCATTTTTAAACTTATGTTTATATTACTTTTCTTCTTGTTTTTGGATCCTCATTCATTTTCCGATTGATTAATCCCAACCTTACGAAACAACCTGTATATTAAAATATGTACATAAATTCTCGTCATCATGATTCTCTCGATGATTGATAACAAGAGTTTTTCATTTGCACGATCATAAACCTTTTGCAGATTCGATGAACTGTTGAAGAAAGCGGTACTGTTAAATACACGTGGTACGAAGCAGATGATAGAGTTAGCCAAAGAAATGAAACATCTAGTCGTGTTCGTTCACATCAGTACGGCCTATTGTCATCTCGAAGAAAAAGTGAGTGAGTTTTTGGACATTTGTATGCTTAGATGTTTGGAAAATAATAAAAAAAAAGAATCGACCTTGATAGATCCTGCGCGAGAGAACATATCCTCCGCCCGCGGATCCTCATCAAGTGATCAAGTGCGTCGAATGGATGGATGATGACGTAGTCGAGGCAATGACGGACAAGATTCTGGGCAAGCTACCTAATACATACGCTTTCACGAAGGCTTTATCGGAAAGTATTGTCGAAGAATCTATGCCACATATCCCATCAATAATCCTGAGGTACTGACGAAAGAGATTCCTTTCAATTCGATCGTTAAGTATTCCTGTTGTTACAAATTTTATTGTCCATTAGACCAAGCGTAATTATTCCTATCTGGAAGGAACCGCTTCCCGGTTGGACGGACAACATCAATGGGCCTACCGGCCTTTTAATTGGTGCCGGAAAAGGAGTAATTAGAACAATGTACTGTAATGAAAATGGTTACGCCGATTATTTGCCCGTCGATATCGCCGTCAATGGTATTCTCCTTGCCACATGGAATTTTATTCATTTCAAAGATCATGAAAAACGTGTTTACAATATGACGAGTAGTAGCGAGTTCAAGGTAAGTATAGAAAATGATATGCTTGAGGTATCTCTTAGCGAAGGATGTATCGAAGATGAAATCTTCACTTTTGCTCTGGGTAGGTGTCCTGGGCAGAAATAATAGACCGCGGCCGAAAAATAACGCAACGAATACCTCTGAACGGAGTGGTATGGTATCCAGGCGGTAGTTTGAAGAAGTCACGACTTATGCATAATATTTGTATATTGCTCTTTCACATGATCCCGGCTTACATTATCGATGCGTTGCTTTTCCTGGCGGGATATAAACCGATGTAAGTCATCGCGAGATCTCAAATCAATGTAGATGTATCTTGATCTTAATTTATCTTTAATCTTTATTTCTAATTATAAAAGATAATTTCAAAGTGACATCAAAATTAATCTATATTGATAGAACTGAACATAATAAGAGATCAATAAACGTTTATTCATCTTTCTTATATTACAGCATGTGCCGTGTACATCGTCGTATAAACAAAGGATTCGAAGTTTTCGAGTATTATGCCAATAATCAATGGGATTTTGAGAATACGTATATTGACGATATAAGAGCAAAGCTCAACAGCACGGAATATAAAAACTATCAAGTGCACGGCAAAGACCTAGATATAGACGCGTACTTCGAGGATTGCATTCGAGCTGCCAGAATTTACATCCTGAATGAACTTCCAGAAACATTGCCAGCCGCACGTCGGCATTTGAGAGTGTAAGTTGAAAATGCATATTTCTTTTTACATAAATTGCTCTAATAATATTCTTTTTTGTCGTAGTATGTACTGGGTGGACGTGTTCACCAAAATATTATTTTTCCTGCTTATTATATACATGTTAGCATCTTGGAGTGAAAGTTTTAGAACATTACTTATAAGCAGTCTGACATACGTTACGAAAGCATTATCAAATGTTTTGTAATTTAGTCAAATTAGGATTGTTTTCACATAAACTTAAGCTTATATAAATCGATCCAGTTATCGATTGTCACTTAATCTCAAGGACACATGGGGAATCAAATATGTAATGGTACCTCTAGTGCATACGCTGCGTGCACCACATACGGGTAAAAAAACAAACCATAAATAAAAACATTATTTACACAATCATGTAGTTTTTATTTTTATGAAAGCTTAAAACACTCATCTTTAAACAGACTCCTGTACTGGTGGTTCGTAACCTTCTGGTCTGTCTATCTTGGAACCGCTGTCGCCGGTTTCCTCACTCTTATTACCGCCTCCATCTCCGTGCAACTCCAACAATTTGCTGAGTTCGAAGCGCGGCTTCTTCAATACTTTCACCTAAAAATTACATCCCATTGTTTATTGACATTCTTAATACTCTGTTTATTAACGTTCGAGATCAAATAATCATTTGCATCTGTGATTATATCTATGCCGTTTTACTTACCTTACGAATATAAACATCGTGCAGAGGATAAATGCCTTGCGAGGCTTTCTCGATGTCCTTAGCCGTGGCATCCGGAAGCAATTTACTAACCACGCCCTTTAAATCAGTTTTAGTAACATCTTCCGTAATGGTTTCAACCATCTTCTGCCTGATTTTCTTAACCTAAATTAAATCATAAAATAAGAAATTAAAACAATAAAAAGTAATCAAAATAAAGCAATTAAACAAAAAATAATAGTAAAATAAAAAATAATAGTAAATACATGGTACCTATAAACTAATTAATATGTAATTTGTAATATATAATAACATGTAATTTGTGATTAACATTTGATATGTGATTAAGATTTGAATAAAAATTTCATATAAAATATTATATATAAATATATTTTAAAAAATAAGAACAATGATGAAAGATGCTAAATTACAGATTATCGACGGATGATTAAATAAACAATAAATCTATATTGATATATCATAATACCATAGCCACAATCCACTTAACACCGCAAAAACTTCAAAACGTTTGATTAATTCGGACAAAGAATTTTATGAATTGACTAATCAAAAAATGCTTCGAAGCATTTGTAGCACCAAGTAGACTGCATCTCATGTAGCATGTTCATATTTCACTACTTACTACAATGAAAGTAGTGTGGTAAGCAACTGCATTAATGTACGCACCCTCCTTCTATCATTCAACTATTAAGAATGTTGAAATGGACAATGGAGTTGCGAATAACATATAATAAATAATCTATTGATGCAAACCTGCGCATGCTGAGCATAACACGTTTTTCTCGTGCTTAATTGATCTTTATTTGTAAAACCAATGCAGAAAACTCGGAGGAGATAGCCATCTGTAGTCTTCACATCTACATTAGCTTCGATCAGAGTTTGCCATTTCTTCACCATTGATCGAAGTTTATCGGTTGTCAAATCCATTCCATGAAAGTTAGTCAAGACATTACGTCCTTGAACATCTTCCGCGATTAATCTAAACTTTCGGAAAGATCTCTCCGCATCTTGATCGCTTTGTAAGTCAGCCAGAGATACTTCAAATACTCTAAATTTAAGTCCTTCGGAAGCGATTTCTGTAAAAATAATGTATAACAAATATTTTTTCCAATAAATAAAAATTAATTAATTTATTTGCAGCCACAATGATCATTGATAATGAACATTAAATTTTTATTTACACTGCATCAATCATTAATAACCAATATTGATCAAAATTATACATTATAATTAAACATAATTAAAAAAATAAAATTATATAAAATAAATAATTCACGTGGAAAAAATATAAAGTTTAAGAAATAAAAAAAATACCTTACTTGTTCCTTGAGTCCTGTTAACCAAAGTTTTTCCAACCTGTCGATTGGCGAACATAGACGGCGCCTTGACATCATACCAGTCTTTACGAGTAAAAGGATCCACACTGAAACAATAACATCTATATGAGAAAACATGCACATAAAAGATAGTATATTAATAACAAGAATTACTATCATTTAAATTTTTTTCAAAAAAAGAAAAAGGCAAAAATATAGACACAATAATTTGATTAATTCATTGATATGTTTAATATCACATTATTCCATCATCAAAATAAAATGTGTTACCAAAAATTCTTCATATCAGAGAAAACACCAAAATTATCATTTACACTATTCATCATCACTGTTTAGTTAAAAAAAAATCATTAAAATTTAAATTTATTATATCTATCTGTAAAATTAGAAAGATAATGATAAAGCACACAAAATTTTTGTCCAATTTATTAACTTTAAATTTCATTATTTATCGCCTTTATTTGTCTATTTTCTGCTATTCAATGTTATTTCCAATGAGGAAGCGACTAATACATCAAGATGATCAGGTTAGGTTAGATTTGGTAATAATAGATTCGCATGAGACAGCTAATTTACAACACATTTCTTTTTTAATGCATGATATTTAAAAATACTTAAGTTGCAATAAGTAATTATTATATTTAAAAAAATATATAACATAGCAATGTGACATTGGCTATGATAGCACATATGCACCGTTGACGTCGGCATGCGAGGATCCAATCTAATTAAAGGCATCCCGCAAAACGACAATTCGATGAGAAACTTTTCGTGAACATGAGAGAATCGGCTTTACTCGAGATTCAATATGGTTCACTTACATCTTCTTTTTCACTCCCTTTTTGCCTCCTTTGGAAAGCCCCTTATTCTTGCCAACCGCCATGATTCCGTGTCACAGGCAAAAAGAGACCGTAAAGTCGGAAACGTGCACCAGCGGAATCAAGCTAAATGTCGAATGTGAGATGTATGAGAAGCGGAAGTTACTACACAAATGAAAAGATCTCTCCTATTGGATGCATCAAATAAAAATGCATATTTCTTAAAGATATTTCGATTCCAATTAACGTAAAAATAAACATTTGACAAGCAAAAAATATTATTCTGCCGCGCTAGAGAGATAATCTTTTAAAAGTTAATAAATTTATTACACTGATAATATGAAGCGATATGCGCATGCGTCAATTGGAAGCACTATAGAATGAGTAGAATAGAACAGAATAGAGCACACGAAGCACACAATTTAATAAATATATACTATAATATATATATATATATAT